GTGCAAAGGAGTGTGACAAGGGTTTCAACTAAGTGACGGTGTTTTCGTTATGCTACCCCATTTTGCTCAGGAGTGTATGGGCAAGATTTTTGATGTAGAACCCCCAAACTTTGTAAGAACAAGCCAAATTTTGTGTTGACATATTCTCGCCCATTATCAGTTCGAAAAATTTTAATTTGTGTATTGAACTGATTTTGAACCATAGATTGAAAACTGAGAAAAGCATCAAATGCATCAGACTTGTGTTTAAGAGGGTACAACCAACAAAATTTGGTAAAATCATCAATGAAATTAATATAAAAGTGAAAACCTCCAAAGGAGGGTACAGAGGTAGGTCCCCATACATCAGAGTGAACAAGTTCAAAGGGAGCAGATGCTTTAGTTTGCGACACAGGGAAGGGGAGTTTATGAGACTTATCAACAGGACAAGAATTACAATGATCAAGTTCCTGAAATTTAAAACCTAATTGAGATAACAGAGACTTGGTGACTTGAACAGAGGGATGACCAAGACGGCAATGCCATTGGTAGGGAGTGACTTTGACGGAGTTGACCACTGGTGACGAACTGAAGACAGGGAGAGAATATAATCCACGCTCACAGGGGCCCTTGAAAAGAACTTGGTTGGTGGTGTTGTCCCGAATCATAAAATCCTTGGAAGTGAAAAGTAGGGAACAATTATTATCTTTGGTAAATTGATGAATGGATAAAAGGTGAGAATTAATATGAGGAGAATGAAGAAGATTGGTTAATGTAAAGGTATGGTTGGGAGTGGTGAGTATACCTGAGCCTGTATGGTCAATAGGATAAGTATTACCTCCCGCAGTTGTAATAGAGTTGGTGCCATGATAGGGTGAAGAAGTATGCAGCCGAGAAAAATCCTTGCCAGGGGCGGCGGCTCATCCTTGCCAGGGGCGGCGGCTTTCTCGTCCAGAACAAGGGATGGAGGAGGCATTTCTGAACCATCAACATATCCGAGGAGACGATGAGCGATGAGATTTGCGCGAACCGTAGCAGACCAAGAAGGATAATTTGTATCATCAAGTTTGACCGGAGTTAGAGATTGAAGATTCTGGACAAATAATTTCAAACCCGCAGGCAGACGATCCATGGGATCAGAAGATTGAGCAGCCATGGCCGATTGGTAGAGATCGGCGGCGTGGGGAAGACGAGAAAGAATCGGCTGGGCCGATTTTTTTCTTTGTGTTATCGAGAAGGAAGAGACGGATCAATAGGCTCTGATACCATATTGAATTATGATTTCAACTCAAGGAAATAATTGTGTACAAGGTAGTTTATATATAGATGGAGATTCCTACATCAATTAGGATTCTCCAAGTATGGTAGCTTACTATAATAACAATCCTTCTATAACTATAACTATTACCATAGTTATCTAACACTATCCTCTCTACCGGTAGGCGTTACGTAGTTGGCAAAGGTAAAGAGTGTCAAGGACGTAAACTCAAGTTTGATTTTTAACAACTGTGCTATGAGACAACTAAGCTACGATCAAAATACCATGTGTAAATTCATTCACTGCCACCAATATGTGATCAAAGCCTCATTTATCTCTTCTCTGTAACCGTCTTACCGGGTCTGAGAGGACGACCCTCGGGGATGTGGCTCGTCCTTTTTTTGTAATAAGAACTCACAACTCCCATCTTTTTTAAAAATATACTCTGGGGTACCTTTAATTATCTAAAACATAACTTCGGGGGGACATTCCGTCCATTCACCCGTCAAATTCATTTTCTTCGTTATTTTTCATCATCTACTTCCCAGAAATTGCTGTTAGGTACCCAATTTTGTAAAAATAACTTTTAGGTCCCATCATTTTTAAAAATATACTCCGGGGTATCCTAAAATATCCAAAAACTTACTCTGGGGGATTTTCCCTTTTCCTTTATTATTATTATTATTTTCCCTTTTCCTTTATTATTATTATTATTATTATTATGATCATCATCATCATCATCATCATCATCATTTTCATTATTCTAGTGCGTGTAGCGACAATCCAACGCAACTTAATAGGCAAAGCGGCAACGAGTGACAGCCGCAGAAGACAATGATGAAGCGAGTAATAAAAATAATAATAACAGTACTCCATAATAATAATAGTAATAATAATAATAGTAATATTTATAGTAATAATAATAATCACAATAATAATAATAATAATAATAATATGATAATAATAATAGTAATAATAATAATAGTAATAGTCACACAATAATAATAATAATAATAATAATAATAATAATAATAGTAATAATAATAAAGAATAATACTAATAATAATAAGACTAACAATGGAAAAAAAGGAAACTTTCTCCAGAGCAAGTTTTTTGATATTTTGGGGTACCCGGATATATTTTTAAAAATAATTGGAGTTATTTATACTAAATTGAGGGTACCTAACAGCAATTTTTGGGAAGATGATGATGAAAAAATAACAGCAAAAATGAATTCGACAGAGGATGGACGGAATGTCCCCCAGAGTTATTAGTTTTCAGATAATTAAAGGTACCCCGGAGTATATTTTTTTAAAAAAAAATGGGACCGGAAAGTTATTTTACAAAATTGGGGGTACCTAACAGTAATTTTTGGGAAGAAGATGATGAAAAGATAACGGAGAAAATGAATTGACGAAGGAATGGACGGAATATCCTCCGGAGTTAGTTTTCGGATAATTAAAGGTACCCCGGATTATATTTTAAAAAAGACAGGACTTGTGAGTTCTTATAACAAAATCGAGGGTACCCGGCAATAACTTTCTGCATGCAACACATGAGTGTGATATTAGTTTATAATTAATGATGGACATTCTATATTAAATGTCAATGATGTTGATTTAAGAAGTAATGAAATGAATAAAATTAAACATATTAAATTATAAGACTACATTAAAGTAAGGACAAGAAAAGAAAACACAAAGGTGTGTATCTAATCTCAAAGCATTTTAAGATTTCCAAAAAACTAAATAAATAAATAACATAAATATGTTTATATATTTTGAATAGGATGTTTAATTTGAAACAAATATATGCACCTTTTATAAAAAATACTTTCTCTGTACCCCTAAGATGTTCTCATTTTGACTTTTAGTGGTTTTTAAGGAGAGTTGAAAAAAGGTGAAAATTTACCATAATACCCTTAATGAAAATGGGTGGAGTGTATTAAATAAAGTGGGTGAGGTGTAATAAATAAAGTAAGTGGGGGTAGTTGTGGTATTTTAATTGTTAAAAAATGAAATGAGAAGATCTATTGTGGACAAAGAAAAAGGGCTATTGAGAAAATCTATGGGGGACGAAGGGAGTAATAAATTACCAAATGAATGTTTTTTATCCAAAAACAAATATATGCACCCTTCAATTTTTTTCATTCCGATTTTCCATATTTTATGGCTAGAGGAAGAGGCAGGCTTAAGAGATTTGGCAAACGTTGATCAAAGGAGACCTTCGTGAGAACAATCTCACATAAGATATGATACATGATAAGACGCAATAACATCGTCCAATCCATGTAGCCGACCGCACCTAGCGGGATTAACTTTGTTGTTATTATTGATTTTTCTTTTTGGACTTACCAAAAAATATTCTAGAAAAAAAATGAAAATATTTAATTTGAATGGCCCACATAATTTTAGGAAATAAGCAACAATTCCCCTCTTTGCCAGTAAATGACTGGAAAATTATCATAGAGGATGTGGTGCAACTTTTTAAAACTACGAGAATTTTAGAAATAAATTTTGAAAACATAGATAATATTGATGCTAATGAGCTAAACCACAAAAGGCAATAGAGCTGTTTGGCCTTCTAATAGCTCTTTTAAAAGAAACGCACAATAGAAAATGGTCAACTTTAATTATTACTTCTTCCGTCCCGAAAAATTTGTCCACTTTTGACTATTTTTGATCAAATTTGAAAAACTTTGACTCCAAATTAAATAAAAATAATATTAGATGTTGATACAAAAATAGTTTTATTAGATTTATTATATAAAATATTTTTCAAATATTCCCTCCGTCCGGTATTAAAGTTTACGTTTTGACTTTCGGTCATTTTTAAGGGAGGTTGACTAACCTTGTAAAATGACCAAAATACCCCCTTTCTAGTCTCCTCCTGACCCGACGGCTCAAAATCGGAAAACATCCCATAGGCCGCCGCCGCGCTTCTCCGGCCCCTCCGCCTCTGGATCTTTGGCTCAAAATCGGAAAACCGCCGTCGAGGATTTCCCTCCTCAAATTGTTCCTCCCCCAAAACGACCGCCCACTTCGGCTCAACCTGAGCCGACCCGGACTCGAGCCCGGCCGTTCGGCCCCTCCTGACCCGGCTTTCCACGACTCTCTTCCCCTATATGAGCACCAGGAACAGCCCATCGTCGTCCACCAGGGAAGCCGCTGCGTCTTGGCACGCACCATCTTGTCCTCAATTGGGGGTGGGGGGGGGAGAAAGAACAGGGGTCGGGAGAAAGAAAAGAAGAAGAAAAACAAGAAGAAGAAGAGGATGGAAGGGGAGAGAGAGGATTGAAAAGATAGATCTGGCGAATGGGAGAAAGAAAAAGAAGAAAAGAGGAAAAGGAAGAAGAGGAGGAAGGGGGGAGAGGGAGAGAGAAGATTGAAATGGAGAAGGGTATTTTTGGAAAAGTGTGGGTTAAAATTAGAAATGTAAACTTTATTTTCGAACGGAGAAAAAAGAGAAACGTAAATTTTATTTCCAGACGGAGGGAGTATCATTTTATGTAATTAATATATAATATATATTTTATTTAATTATAGGTCAAAAGTTAAAAACAGTTCACTAAAAAAAGTCAAAACTAGACAAATACTCTAGAACGGGGATAATATATTTATACAAACAAAATGAAAAGACTAAAAAAAATACGCAATCAAAGTTAATAAAATTTGACTGTATGAATAATGAAGTAGAAAAAAAATTTCTGGACAAATGAAGTATCATTTGAAAATCAACATCAACATCTAATGTTCAAAATTATTGGTATCCTTAAAATTTATTTTTCTCCCATTTTTTCACTTCAATAAAATGTATGACACAAATATTGCATAATATATGATTACATGTTGGCCAATATGATAGGATGATTGTTCAAACATTACCAAGTCGTTAACCGGGTTGTGGATCGACCTAATTTAACTGATTCGATCAATTAACAACCCATGACCCAGTTGTTTGTCCGGTTCAACGTCCGATTCAAGCTCAGAACATTTTTTGAGACGCATTCATAATTTGTTTGTTGCTTAGTTGTGACAAGTATTGAGGAACTTCAAAAGTTAAGCAGCTGGTGATTGTGTGATCCTTTGCACCATGTCCAAGGATACACATGGTTGATCTGCAGGAACCTGCATAAGAATTTGATCAATATATATATATATGGAGTTGAAAAAAATTATATATTTATAACAGTACATCACATGATTGAATTTGGCAAGAACAATTGTTTTATCCATATTTAGTTGTTCATATTTTCATTTGAAGCTTCTGGATTCCATATTAAGTAAATAAATACTCTCTTCGTTTTGAAATATACTTTAAGTGCAAATAATTTAAATTATACTGAGGTAATATTGAAATTTATTTATATGAAAGAGAAACCTAGTAACCAACATATTACAATACTTAATATTGCAAAAAAGGAGAGGTATAAAAATATTTTTAGGCACGTAATTTTAACATGTGTTATATTCTTCTTCACGTAAAATGTATGAATGTATATAACACGTAACACATATTGAAATTTTACGATGTGCATGGTCTGAGTTTAATTGTACAAAGCAAAGAAAAAATATGCTTTATGCCATTTGATTTTCAAGATTTCATTTTTATCCTTTTACAGATTGGAAATGCTACAAGAACCATATAAAATATTTCGTTAACAATGAAATGAGCTTTGTGCAATTATTAATTAAACATATATCATTTTATAATGTGCAGGCTCTATTTATGTGCAAAAAATGTGCAAAATGAGCATTGCATAATCTTTAAATGAGCATATGCCGAAGGCATATTAAAAATCTTACATATGCATAATATTAAGAATTTGTCTTTAACTTAAGTTAAAAAATTAAGTGTAGAAAAGGTTTTCCATAGCTTGAGTTGTTAAGCTAGCCTAATCACAATGTTAAAATGATGGACCTTAAATATATCACTCTATTTGTCCCATATTTTTTATTCTTTTTAAAATTTTAATTCAAAATTGTTAAAACTTGACCAAAGTTTGTATAAAATGTATATTAAGTTATAACATAAACTTGATATCATTAGACTTGTTTTTGAATGTTACCCTGTAGTATTTTCAAGAGTCATACAATTATATTATGAAAATATTTATTTAAATACTAATGATTAAATGATGTATAAGAGGCCAAAAAAACTCATGCTATAACAAAATTATGAGACAACGGGAATATTATATGAGAGTGCAAAAAAAGAAGATTTAAATGCAGAATAATAGTTCACTCACAAAGTGGCCAGCGCCAATAATCCAATAAAAGTTTAAGTTGCTATATGACTTGGTGAATGCCTTTGTAGAGCCTTTGCCCCCACAATAAAGTGGAGTTCTCTCTTTCCTTAAGAATGCTTTTAGTCCTTTCCATCTGTACATGGAATTGAAAATTCTCACATATGCATTATACATACTGTTTTTTTTCAAATTAAAAAAAAAATATTATCGACAATCAGGGATGGAGTCAGAAATAAAATATTGGAGACAACTATAATCACTTATTGATAATTAAAGTATATTATGATTCTATTTTCTATTTATGGTGTATTCTTTTTTTAAATTATGATAGTTGTATCGTAGAAGTATTTGCTTTCCTAGTTTAATTTTTTCCTTTCCTATACATATATATAGGGCCATGAGACGTTTAATAAACCAAGAATGGCAGTACTATTCTAACTACTTATGCATGACTATTGATTATGGGGGATGATTTTTACCTCTAACTATCAAATTGCGTGTTCTCGCTGTCAGTTAATCTCATCTCCACTTTTTTGTTATGTGATATTGATAGCTTAATTACTATGATTCAAAAATATGTGATATTGATAGCTTAATTACTATGATTCAGAAAATTATAATTATACAGGGTCGCACTCTGAAGATTTTGATTGGTACAATTAAAGAAAGAGGGGAAGTCTATATGTAAAAGCATGTGGTTTAATCAAATCTGTGCCATATGGTTCACAGAACAATTTTGTTGATTTGTTACATGGTCATTTGGGTCATCCTGCTAGCCATACCATGAGAGATGGCATACGTAGCTAATACATATACGAGGTGCAACCAGAATACACAATTGAAAAATACTTGGAAAGCAGAATCAATCATCATCCAACACTAGGACCTACCATAAATCACTAATAGGAAATAACCTGCACAGTAGACATAATTAAGTATACCGGACCCATATTCGGACATGTTTAAAAAATTTAAAATGGGTCTTGGTTTGGAACACCGGCACTCTATAATGAACCTGGATAAACTCGGACTCAATAAAAATAAATAGTGGTGTTAAATTTTTAATGACATTATGGTAGTAAATAATATATTTACACTTCAAGTGTTACTTGTATATAAGAACTTTGATAACATATAGTATAGTTATTTATATCATGTGCAAACGTAATATGAATTCACATCTTAAGGTAAAATAAAAAACTATCTGTCATCTAGACTCAGACTCGGACCCAATCCGACCAAGACCTGAATGAGTCCAGGTCCAGTAACACAAACAGTAGAACCGGTGGATCTTGGATACGGATCAGGATCAATTTTGTTTCTATCGCTCCAAATCCAACATATTAAGAGATGCATGGATATGTAAAATTTCTTACTTGAGCTTGCGAATCCAAGATTCAGTTCCCTTGGTAGAACATATGACATCAAGCTGCAACACCCCAACGAAAATTTATTAATATCTAGCTGATGTGATATACGAGTAACAATATTTATACCACTGGTTAGACTTAAGAGATTTTTTAAATGGAGAAATGAAATAAATCATACTATGTATGCCCAAAACATTATTATATTAAATAATTATAATCCTCATTTCTTTGTTTAGTGTAACTCCCTTTGTATGATTTGCAACTCCCTTACTTTATGATTTGTAACTCCTAAGGATTTTATTTACAGTAGCAGTTAACTAGGATTATTACTATTATGTATATAAATAGCACATTGTTGTAATTGTATTCAATCAATCAAGAACAAAATTACTATTTCCTCACACGGTATCAAGTGCTTAAGGAACTTTGTCTTCCTTCATGGTCCAATTTTTTTCCTCCACGTAAGGCCACTATCACCAAAGATACATGTCATACAAATACATGTCCAAACACGCTTCCTTATGAAACGTGTCTCTACCAATTTCCCCATATGGCAGCGACAAGTATGCTCAACACTTATCGGCCTGGATCTCCTAGGCTATGTTGATGGTTCTCTCACGCCACCCGGCGCTATGAACGATGATACTGTCAACCCTTAGCTTTCTATTATTGGGAGACTCCTTGGTAGTTGCTCTGAGCAAATACTACCCCTTATCTCCCATGTTGGGACAACTCGTGAAGCGTGATAGAACTTGCACCAAAGCTTTGTAAGTACAAGCATAGTTGTCACGGCGTCACCTAAGCGTCCTGGTGCCCTTCTACTCTCGCCATGGGAGTTTGCCTCACCTTATTCTGCATACCTTGCCTGGGCATCGCCTTGGCCTCACCTTGGCTCGCCTAGTCCAGTGCTTTCTCTATTTTTATTTTTCTACTCTAGTGCTTTATTTTTTATTAAGCGTTTTATAGCCCCGACTCCAGTGCTTTATTTTTTTTAATGCTTTATAAACTAGTTTATCTTCAATTAAAAGTTTTTTTCAACTTTATCTTCTTAATTAATATTCGGTGCTTAATTTCTTAAATGTTACTAAATGATTGAATTATTTCCAGTTTAAGCCGGTAATGCTTTTTTACAACTTTGGTTTTTCTGGATGAAAGTACCTAAAAGTAACTTTGGTTGTTAAACTTTGCTGTATTAGAAAATTGAAATTTTATCAACTACAAATATAATGTGATATATTTATTTTAGGGTTTTTAATGTATAGCAATTCTCCTATATTATGTGTTGCCTAATCGTCGCCTAGGCAGTTGCCTAGTCGACTAGGCATCCTGGCAATACCTCGGCGCCGCGCCTCGACTTGGCACCGTGACAACTATGAGTACAAGCAGTCAAGCAGAGGTCATGTGACTTCGTTCAAATCACAACTTGGCAAAAATCCCCAAGGTAACCGTTCCATCTCTGATTGCCTTCACAAAATGCAGTTCATTGCCAACAAACTCGCTCTGGTCCGAAATCCGATATTTGAAGAGGACATAGTAGTTCATGTCCTAAATAAAGTAGGCGATGAGTATGATGCAATTCTCCCCGCAGCCCGAGTTTGTGAACCATTCTGTTCACCAAACTTTGCGATATCCTCAAAGCTCATGAACAAAAAACTGAAGATGTCCTTCAAAGCACCTCAAACTCTGGGTGCCATGGCGAATGCTATACATCCGTCCCAAAGTGTTTGACTAGTTTTGACTTTTTGCCGTAAAGATTGACAAACTTTGACCATTAATTAAATAAAATTGGTATAGATATTGATACAAAAATAATTTTATTAGTTTTATCTTGTACAAGATTTTAAAAATATTGTTTTATTTAATTTTTAAATAATATAGCATAAAATTTTTATTTAATAATAGGCCAAAGGTTAATCTTGGTTGACTACAAAAAGTCAAAACTAGACAAACACCCTTCAATCCCTATGGTCGTGAAAGTGCCGACTTCTGTAACAGATTCTACGATCGTGGTCCAGAGCCCCTCCCGCACGCCAAGCACAGTGTTGTGATGGGTCCTATCAATTCCGCAGCAATTCTGGTCATGATATCAAGGAGTGTCGTAAGCTTGCTCGCTTTCATCAAGAAACATAGACTTGTCCTAGTGGTCATACAACATAGATGACTCCTCCCATGGTTATAACACTCCAGCCACTGACGGTTCATGGCTCTTTGACAATGGTGTTAGTCTTAATGAGATCCACCTAGGTAATGGTAATGGTTTGAAAATTGCTCACAGTTTCCACAACATTATCTCCATCCCCACACACCCACTCTCTCTTACCAATGTTTAATGTGTTTCCAATCTTCACCAAAATCTTGTTTCAGTTTCTCAACTTTGTCAAACTAACATTGTGTGTGATTGAATTCTCTCCCTCTTATTTTCTTGTGAAAAATCTGAAATCGAGGGCACCTTTACTTTGCGGCACCAATTTTAATGGTGTCTACTATCCAAGTCCGCCTATCAACCCACAAGCATAGATTTGGTCATCCATCCAATAAAAGACATCTTATCTTGCTGTAATAAGTCCTCTTTGTAGGACCTAGTTAGTTTCCACTGTACCTATTGTCACAAACTACCATTTCATGAAAACACCCTTGTTGGTCTGAACCCTCTAGAATTAATCTGCACGGATGTATGGAGTTCTGAGATTTCCCTTGATCGTTAATTGGTTATCATCAATATGTTATTTTTGTTGATAATTTTACAAAATATATTTGGCTATACCCACAAGCAAAAATCCGAGGTCACTCATGTTTCACAATAAACAAAAACCTTGTGGAAAAATACTTTAAACACAAAATCATCACGCTTTTTTCTGACAACGATGGTGAATTTATCAAACTCAAATCCGTGTTGAATTCATTTGGTATATACCATTTCACCACCCATCCTCACACTCCTAAACACAACGGCAATACTAAACCGAGACACTACCATGGCGTTGCGACAGGACTCGCCTCTCAATCTACATACAAGTGTCTCGACTCTAACGCAAATTGTTTGTACTTGTCTTGTCACATCAAACTTGTTCCAAGTCCAACCATTCCTTCCTCTCCTTCCTCATTTGTCTGCCATGCCGTCGAACCCGTTCCTGGGATCCCATCCAATCCTGGGTCTAACCAATCCCCGTACCTTCATTATCCACCCCCTCTGCCCAACCTATCCCAAGACACCAACCCATCCTGCGACATCAATCCATACTCGGATCCCAACCCATTCCATGACCCCAACCCATCCCTTAGCTTCAACCCATCCCGGGACCCAAAACCTTGTCTTCACTACCATATTTTCCCAATTTGCCCCGACAACTACACCTAGGACCCAACCCTGGGAACCTTCCTCTGCATCAATACCCAGGATCCTCAACTGTGAATTAGCCTTAAGACTCTAGACCCACCAGGCCACCGCACATATTGCTTAGTATTCACAACGAACCAGCAAACCAAATCTCTAACACTTTGGCCCTACTTTTGAGTCCCACATCACCATCTCCAATCTTATCACATCCACAATCAAACCAAGCAACGCTGCCCAGGCTCTCAAAAACACCCATTGGCGCCAAGCTATGGGGGCAGATGGCAGCTTGTTCTAGGCTCAGCCTGCAAGCACATTGGGTGCAAATGGATATTTCGTGTTAAAGAAAAGTTGGATGGTTCAGTTGAAGTTGATTGTTTTCAAATCCGTGTTGTCGCCAAGGGTTACCTTCAGCAACCAGGCAGAGACTTGACTGACAGCCCGGTTATGAAACCGGTCACCATTCGCCTAGTTATATCCATTCCTCTCACTCAGAACTAGTCACTTAGATAGCTCGATATAAACAATGTCACTTGAGACAGCTCGATAGAAACAATGTTCTTCTACATGGCAGAATCTCTAAGGAGGTCGATATGGAACAACCCCTTGATTATGTTCATCCAGACTACATGTCTCATGTATGGCGTCTGTCCATGGCAAGGTATGGTCTAAAGCAGGCACCTCGTGCATGGTAAGAGAAATTGACAAGGTTCTTAGTGTTTTCTGGCTTCAGCAAATCCAGAGTTGATGCATCCTTATATATTTATCATCGTGATGATATCATTGCATATTTTCTAGTTTACATAGATCAGTAGACGACATTATTATGATGGGTAATTCTAACTAATTCTTAGCAAGCTATGTGAGTGTTCTTGCAGATCAGTTCTCCCCCAAAGATCTTGGCCCTCTACATTACGTTAATACTTTTTTAGAGTTGAAGTAATACCCCTTCCTATGTGTCTTTTTATGTTGTAGGCTCAATTTGTATCAGACATTCTGCAATAGGTCTCTATGGATGGGGAAAAACCTATGGCCACTCCTTTAGCGGCTAAAGAGTCCCTTCCTCCACCTGCAGACCGCACACAAGAAGTTGATTCCTCCAAATACATACATATAATTGGAAAGCTTCAGTATCTTGTTCTTACTCGCCAGGATGTTTCCTATGCAGCCAATAAGCTCTCCGAATATAGGCATGCGCCTACCGATGCTCACAGGTTCGCCCCCAAGCGGGTACTAAAATATTCGAAGGGCACCTTCCTTCATGGCATGTTTCTATCTTGGCATGTTCCTCTTCAACTACATGCATTTTCTGCCTCTGACAGAGGTGGAGTTACTGATGGTGGTCGCTCCCTGATTGCATATATTCTTTACTTGGGTTCAAATATAATCTCTTTGAAGTCTACAAGATAGAAAATTGTTTCTCATTTTCCCATGGAGGCTAAGTGTCATTTATATTTAATGCCATAGTGGAGCACTTATGGGTTTAGAACTTGATCCAATAACTACATATCTCACTGCACAGTGTGCTGACACTTGCGGTTATCATCTCTATGAGATCTGTCTCTGAAAAAATCTAGTCCTACACTCATAAATGAAGCATCTGCCTCTGGATTATTAGTTTGTTCAAAATTTAATAGCAGCAGATCATCCTCGGGTCTCAACAGATTGCCAATGTTCTCACTAAACCACTACCCAAGCACATTTTTCTCATGTTTCAATCCAAGATTGGTGTCACCAATGAATCCTCCATCTTTAGGTGGCATATAATAAAAAAATTGTTATAATAACACTTATTATCTTCATTTCCTTGTATATGGTGTAATTCCCTTGTATGATTTGTATCTCCTTTATGTGATTTGTAACTCCTAAAGATTTTATTTAGTCGTTAACTAGGATCATTACATTTCTATATAAAAAGCACTCCATTGTAATTGTATTCAATCAATCAAGAATAACAATACTATCCTCTCTTACTCCGTACATATCTTTCTTAAAGAACTAAGGAAAGTACAAAATTTATTTTGAAATAAATGGAATATGAAAATATGAAATTAATTTTGAGGGAGGACGAATATATAGAATATGAAGTTGGTTGATAATTCAAGACATACTTGGCCATTATAAATAGTCACATTCACTCCTTTAGCCAATAGCTCGTCAACCTATAACAATAAGAAGAAAAATTATAGTTTCTCGATCGAAAATAATAATAACTATTATCATCATTATCATCATCATTATTAAAGATATTATTTTCTTTTATTAAAGTCGCTCTTTTACCTATGAATTTGAAGATTACTTTTAACTTACTCTACATTTAATTCTCATTGACAATGATTGGACAAGAGATAAGTGGTCCACATTATAACTCAATCAAAACTCACCACTTATTGTACCCTATATATCTAATGACAAAATATTGAAGCCAAAGTAGAAACATTACTCCATATTTTAGGGAAGAAACATATACCTCTTCAATCCTTGGTCTCATGAAATCACCCGTCATTCTTTCAAACACAGCATCTTCCTGCTCTCCCCACCTTTAAAAACAATAGAACCCTGTGGTCACTTTCTTGCATACTAAATTAAAGTTAATCCAAATTATGATGGTCATGGCCAGCTTCGGTTCTGAATCGATACCAGAAAATTATATTCTAGAATTGATAGGAATCGGAACAGGGACCCTTATACATACCTTGTATATATAAAGTTCCGATTCTATCAAATGGAGGATCAAAACTGGAGATTCAAATTCCGAAACATGACCTTAATAATAGGCTAGGATGCCAATTGTGAATTAGAAATTTAGAATAGGAAAAAATAAACTTGTAAAAAGGACAAAAATAGCTTGGAGTTTTTGCATGAAAATCAACATTTCTCTAAATTCATACAGAGTATATGTTACTTATATAGTAACAAATACAGAGTAAATGTTAAAAATATAAGTACCCATGAATAATGATATATATATATATACACACACACACACGCACACATATAGCAAACTAAAAAAGAACAGTATTCTGCAGTACAAATTAAATGAAATATACTTACGTTAAGTTTTTAGGAATAATTCTTAATTTCTTTTTAATGGGCCCACCCATTAAAGTAGGAAGATCCAAAGGATGACCTGCTGCAGAAGAAGGCTTCATCATATTCCTCTCCTTCAAAGAGCATAGATAATTGGAGTATCTTTTCTTTGGCAACTTATTTTGTAGATATGCTTTGTTTGAAACAGTTGATCCCAATAATGCATCATCATCCGAATTCAGATCCGACAAGAAGTTGTACAAGTCCTATTAAGTAGTGTCATGTGTAACTCAGTATACTCCAAAATAAATTCACATCTTTCTGTAATGTTACAAAATAAAATTCATACTTTTACATTTTTTCCAAAAATAGAATACAATGTATGACTCATAATATTTTTAATATTTCTGAATAAATTCTAACCACAATTTTTTTTATTTCTAAAAGCATATCACGTGTGATTTAATCAATTGTGTCTTCCAAATAAACTTGAACAAAACTACTCCCTCCGTCTCTAAAAATATGAGAGATTTTGATTTTTAAGGGATTTAAGGAGAATGTATTTTGGTGTTGAATTTTCAAAAATGTCCTTGGATGTGATGGGTAAAAGTAGAATTTGATAGATAGATTAATAGTGAATAGATGTGATGTGAAAGGTGGGTTAAGAATTAGTAGGATAAAAATGACTTTTTAATAAAAATGAAAAAAGTTTTTTGGAACAGATGAAAAAGGAAAGGAGAAAGATTTTCAAGGACGGGGGAGTATGTTATTTTTTTAGCGATAAGTGTGTTTTAGGTGACATATATTTAGACTCTATTCTCTTCAACTTATTTTTGCTACTTGTTACCCATTCTTATTTCAATTAGATCATATCACTTCAATTCAGATCAAATCATTCGTGAAAATTTTGAAAACTAATAATGTTGATAGTAAGAATAATAACAATAATAATGATAATAATAATAATAATAATAATGATAATGATAATAATAATAATAATAATCAAATCTATTAAATTACAAAAATGAAAAAGCAGTTTCTTAAAGACCATTCACCAAATCAAAATTGCACTTTAGTGTTTTAAAGTCATTTAACCCTTTGTTGCACTATTTTCTTTACATTTTTTGTCCATACCACAGTTTTTTTTGTATAACATATTTAGTAATATTCGTGTAACTCACATTTGTTCTCTTTTTAGTCATAATTATTAATTTTTATTTTGTAATATATGTTTCATCCCATATCACTATTCCAACTTAACGGGAATTTTTATTTATTTTCATTTTTTCGTGGCCTATATGATAAAATAAAATATTCTTGTCACTATCTGTTTTATTTAGCTTTTGATGTAGTTTATAAATATGTTAATTTTATTTTTTATTTCTACACCAATATTTAAATAAAATAGATTGAAAAAACTTGGGATTTTTCTTCATTTTGCGCAACGAGAAGAAAGATATGGGACGGAGGGAGTATGACTCATAAGTCCTAATTTAATGATCTAAAAAACTACTATTAATACACTCCCTCCGTCCCAAAAAAGACTTTTTATTTCCTTTTTGGGTTATCCCAAAAAAATCTTCTTCTTTTCTTATATGGAAAACTTTGAGTGGCTCACAATCTTTCTCTCTTCTGCATCATTTTCAACCACACATTTTTACTTTTCTTAAACTTTGTGTCATGTCAAACTGGGAGCCCTTTGGGGGATGGAGGGAGTAATATTTATGCAGTCCATATAATAGTTAAAAATCTCACACACATTGAAATAATTGATGATAATGGATTTTTTGGAGCAAACAGAAAAAATTAGAAAATGGAATAATATGCTACGTGGAAAATTGAAATGTTACCACTCCATCAGAGTTTTCACCTATCACGACTTGGAGTTGGCCCCATAAGGTGGTCGCATTTTTAAATTCTGCAACATCAATTTTCTTCTTGATTTCTTGAGCTAATCTGTTATGCAGAGAACAAAATTAAATTTATTGGATTCATAATTGACGCGATTTATGATCTCTACATCTTCTTACTCTTTTTTTCCATTTCTTTATATTGATATACCTTAAAAGAAATTATAATTATACCATGCAAATTCATTATCAACGATGTAATTTTCACTTTTCTGAATATGTCTCTCTCTCTTATGCCCTAGAATTAGTGGTTGGGATGAGGTGAGTGTAAGAAATCTAGTTGTGGTGATGATGCTACATTGCAGCGTTATAAGGGATAATATATGAACGAACGTAAAGATATTTAATAGGCTAAACGAATTGCGTGATCACTTTCAGATTAAAATTATTTTGGGATATACAAAAATAGTTGTATCAAGAACGAGTAGAGAAATTATGTTTTTCACAAACATACCCTGAGACTTCATATATATAGAGCACAGACTGATTAGAAGAGACAGTTGAAAAATAACACATTTAGTTGAACGTTTTGAATGTTAAAATGTCTTGGCCAAGACATTCGAATGTATGCATTGCCTTTCAACGGTTTTAACATTCAAATAACATTGCATTTCCGTGCATTTCGCGTAACATTCGAATGTCGAATGTAATACTTTAAGCATTCAAATGTTGCCCTATTTTAGACTCCGTATATGAAAACCTGAAGGATTTCCTTAAAGAAACAATGTCCAAAATTTCCTTACACAACTCTACCCCAGTGAGGGGCTCTACCCTTGGAACCCACCAAGGGTTGTTGCCCCTTGGACTTGCTCCAACCACAGACCTACTACAAAATTTCTAATATCATTGAACAAGCGTGCACCCTGCATCGCCTAACTCGTTAACAATGCGTATTAAAATTCTCATCTAATCTAAGTAAATCCAATTACATAAAACAGCCGATGACACTTAAATTACGAGCAGTGAGTGTAAGACATACCTTCTCTATATTATTTATTGTACTTCTAAATAAATTTCAGCAATAAACTTTATATGTTTTGAAATGCAATCTACTCTGTAATATGTTATCAATCCAAATGTAGTTGTCCACTTTATAAAACAACTCCTCTGTCTAACAACGTACTCTCATTTTCCTTAGTTGCTAGAACTTAAACAAAGAATTTTTACATATTTGACGGAGTACAATGATATGAAGTATCAAGTCATGGGAAGAAATTTCATCAGGATGATACATGACCGCATCGCTACAAAATTTAGAAGTTCACTAAGTGGACATGAAGAAGCAACTTTTCTTAATAGAGATCTAGATGAAGACATTTACATGAAACAACCTGAGGGTTTTATAATTCTAGGAAAAGAAAAGAACGTCTATAAGTTGGTTAAATCAATGTACGGTCTAAAACAAGCACCAAAATAATAGAAAGAAAAGCTTGACCACATGATGATAAGCCATGGATTCAAAATCATGAAGCTGGACAAATTTAAAAAGGATGATGCCAAAGTGGCCAAGACAGCATTCGACATGAATGCTCACTTGGACAAAAATCAAGGTGAGAGAAACTCTAAAATCGAGTACACCAAGTTTATTGAATGTCCAATGTACCTCATGAGCTTCACCATACAAGATCTAGCACTAAATTGAGTAAATACATAAGTAGTTTCAATGTTGCGCACTGGAAAACAGTGCGAGTCATATGGTACCTACAATATACTTGTAATTACGACCTATACTACACAAGATATCCACTAGTGTTGGAAGAATACATTGAGGAAAACAAGATATTTGATACGAAAGATTTGAAATTTAAGACTGAGCATGTAGTTCTTTATGCTAAAAGGTGTAGTTTCATCTCAAAAGTCCTCAAAATAGACGTTAATCGCTACGTACCATATGAAATCCGAGTTCATAGCTCTAATAATATGGAGAGGAAGTCGAATGGCAATGTAATTTCCTAGACAACATTCCAATGTGGGGCAAACTAGATTTAACGATTTGCACCTGTGATGACTATTCGTCAACGACACGACATGCAAAGAGCCATACGTACAATGGTAAGTCTAGACATATCCGTCAAAGACATAACAACACTAAGAAACTTCTACCAATTGAGGTTATCATGATTGACTATATAAAAACAAAGGATAATCAAGGGGGTCAACTAGCCAAAGATATAAACAAGTACTCCGTAAGTTGCAAGAGAAGAAGGTGGGAAGAAAGGCTTGAAGATATTGTGCTAGCCTAGAATAGTCATGTGAAGAAAAACCACACTTAGCTAGTACCTAGGTTTAATGAGGCAACCTACTTTTTTGGATGAAGCACAATCATTGTAAAGGAATGGTCGCAACTCTAGAACTTCCCATTCCTTTATGCCAATAAAATTTGAATCATGAAATAGGATGAGTGTAGCATATCTATATGCTTTAATAATTCTTGGAAGCTATGCACAATGGTCTACATGGAGTACATATTCGAGATAATGTTAAGGAATCAACTTTGAGGAGAGAAGTGTGGTCGGGTCAAAAAGAAGATTGCGAGCATAATCCTTAAACAACTCTCACAAAACTAAGCATATTGCTCAATGAACGAAAAGGGCATAAATGTTACGAAGATACTTGTGTAAGACACAATATCATGTACAAAACGAGCTTAAAGACAACCATAATTAAGCCTAAATATCAATGTGATTCAATAATACCATTACAAAATGGAAATGTGTTAATTTTTACTACAGAAAAATGTTTTGATATGTTATACGCAAGAACACTTAAAGGGTCAATGAGAAATTAATGCTCATAGTAGACCCATTGAATTTTAATTAATGAAGTGAGTGGGGTTCCCTAAGAGGTAGGATGTGTTCCCACATTGCAAACTCAGCACATTAATTTTTCCCTTTAAAATTGGAAAACCTTATGACATTTTAAGGTTCTTTTACAGGGGAGAGGGTGGGGTAAATGGTGGACCTATTCTGGGCACGGCAGGACACTCGCGCAAACGAGTTGAATGATGCAAGCCTCAAGAATTTTGACACGAGACACATGACTCGGGACATGGTCTCAGAGTGGTGAGACTCTAGGACTCCAGTGCTTAATATTGTAGCTAAAGAGCTCTTGCTTGAATAAATCACAGCTGGTTTTGACTAAACAAATGAAATAATTTAAACTTGCCAAAGGATTAAACCCAAAACCTGTGAAGTTCCAAGCTTCTGGCTTGCCTTTATACTGCCCATAATTTACACATGCAAGGATTGTCATAACAGCTCCATTGAACTCCCCTCAACTAAAGACAAGTTTTGGTCTTGGTGCAAATACAAAAAGTAACAACAAGAGTGTTTGAGAGAGCTTTGTAAAAATATTTCCGGCAATTCATTCGATCATATAAATTTCCTATCAAACGCATTTCGTTTCTTCTCATTTGTCAAAGTTAACGCAAACCACACCTCTGTTGGCCTATATTGTCTTAAGGATGACTTTCCGGCGACTCTTCTCCTCCATATTCTTTTGCATTTTTTTATCGACAACTTTATACTAACGACCCAAAAGGAGAAAGCTAAAAACTTTCTAGAAGTTTTTCAGTCTCATTATTTGTTGTCCAATTACGACAAAGCTTTCATTTCACTCGACTATTGTAATTTAATTATATTGTAAATTATTAAATAATTTACAACCCTGATTTAGATTAATATTGTGCATTTCTGAATGCAACACCAAAACAATACCTTGTATTCCATGCACATAAAAGTGGACACAATAAAGGAACTTTAGAATCTACACTCAAAGAAAAACAAGGCCGAAGATATCGACACATAAATTTGTTGGTCGAAGTGTCTTGGATTTTAAAATGGTGTGAGTAACACCAAAGAGTTGAAGATTATTTTCAATAAATGCAATGGTGTGAAAATGAAAGTAAATGAAGCATTTCAAGATAGGGCAATGATTTCCATACTCCCACCATCCAGAAGAGATTTATAGCCATATCTCAAGTGCAAACCAATGGATACGAACCTTGAGCAATTACTTCTTCATCTCCGAGTTCAAGAGGAGAAAATTATTTTGGAGAAGAAAGAGAGTGTTGCCTACTCATCAAATGCCAAGACAAATATGGTGAAACATTAATAGGTGTTTAAAGTTGAACAAAAAAGAAAAATCATAGTCCCTAGCATCGCAGAAAGAAGGTTCACGAGGAAGTGCAGCAACCATCACCGGCCAATGTTCTTCGAATTGCAAGAAGAAGCCAAAGAAAAAGAACGAGGTAAATACAAAGGTTGGATCATTTATTAAACAATTTTTTTCTTTTCATCCAAAGCATAAACTTCCAACATTTGTAATCCAAACTTTCTTAAGAAATGATAAGGTGTTTTTCTTAAATGAAACTCATCTCATGTCCACCTTTAGTATGGTACATTCAAAAGACATTACCTTGTCAAAGTTGGACAACAAAGGTGCATGACCTTTTTATATGATAGATAAGTATTTATTTAATATTAATATAAATATTTATAAGATGTTTTGTAAATTAATTTTATATAAGGTCCATGTGCTTGTGAATTTGATTCATTATTCTCAGCAATCTACTGAAGCAGCTTCAAACCTTGTTAAAACCGCTTATCCAAATTCTCATTTAGGGATGAACCTGCCCAAGGTGTTTGGTAGACTCAATCTTTACATTGGTATGGTTGAATAAGCGTTAGAGTAGTCTTTGTTGATAGATTGTACTTTCAAGCGGCAAATTCGTTAACGAACTTAAAGTCCATGGTGAACATTTATACACATCAAAATAAGCATTTACTTCCCAGGGAGATAAGCATTTTTTAATTCTTTTAAAATATAAATAAATACAAATTTGTTTTAGAAGGTCCATGTAGACCTCGTAGATCTTAGGTCTCTAATAAATATTTCCCTCTTTAGTCTTAATTATAAGCAGTTGCTGGCATTTTTGTATAATTCTTATATAGTAAATTGATGGGTCTAAACTTCACAATTTATTGTTTTTTGTTTAAACATATTACTTATCGTATAAGCTAATACAAAATATAAAAATATATATTATGATATAATAAGGAGCAGAGGGTTCAACACCGTACCATATGTCTCAAATTCATCTTTTTTATGTAAAAATAACACAATTTTTTGAAATTGAATTAAAAAATGGTTTGAAAGCTTTTTATAATGATTTAAAGTTTCTAAATAAGCTAATGGGAAGATGATTTTGAAACTGATGGGTATATTGGGTTGTGATGGTTTTTTGATGTAGTAAGCCAAACATACGCGCAGGGCCCAAAGAAAGGACACACTAAACTGGATTAGTCCACAGGTGTGACAATAAGTAAAGTGAACGGGTCAATTCGATTTGGCCATGAGGCATATGAGGTTGAGATAAGTGGAGTGGCTGCATGCTAGGGTTAATGACTTGGAGGGAAGGATTTGAAAGATACATGAACAATCTCAATAAATTCCCAAGATTGTCAGGATTGATTGGAACTTAGAAGGGAACAAGGAATGTATTCAATCCTATAAATTCCTCTCCCAATAGATCTGAACCATAATTCCTTGAATTTGAGTTATTGCATTCATTTCTTTATTCTTATATTTGATATTCAAGTGATTGGCATTCCCACGAGAAATGAACAGCATTTCAAGTAAATTAAAGTCCATCAGAATCCTTTTGCTCTAATAAGCGAGAAGATGATTTTGAGTGGGAGGTAGTTTGTGGGTAAAATATGGAATGCGATCGAGAAAGATATATTATGATTGAAAATCATGTAGTGAGTCTATAGTTTACACCGCCCTAGTTTTGAATTTCTATACGGAGTACAAGTTTTGTTGGGATTTTAAGTAGAAAAACAATTAAGAACGATAAAAATAAATAGAGCTGGAGAATAAATTTTATTTCCACTATATCAGGACTATAGAAAAACTCGCCCTGTTCATTAGAGCTAAATACCACACTCATGAATAGACCTTTTCATACCCTAAACTCTGATGTATTTTTTGAATAACTCAATACCAGTTACTCCGCCCTAACACTCACCCTATTTAATGTTCTCACCACTCCGTCAAACATGCAAAGATTGCTAACGCGTACTGTTCTCATCACTGTGGCCCAGCTTTGCGCACCATTTGCCATCTTGACAGCACCCAGTCGATCACAAGCTTCATAAGTATCAAGTTGGTCCCTAACTTAGCACATGGGAACGAATAACCTCAATTTGATATTCAATATTTACGTCTATGGATTCCAACTCTATTTTAATCTTGTAAATTTCATCAATTAAGATGTCCATTGAATTTTGTTTCCTCCGTTATTTGGAGAGCAAACAGTCGATTCTTCACCTATTTGCACTAGCTCTCCAACTTGTCCCAAATATCCACCAGATCCGTCAAACCGAGAACCTCTTGAAGATTATTATTTGCAAGGGATAGGCAAATTGTACTCAATGCCATGTCCATCAAAGTTCAAATACACCCACTCTTCATCCGACACTTTTTCTAGTTTGACATTCTTCTCATGTTTTGCCCAGTCAGCATCCACCATATTTCACCATATTTCTGTCCTCTGAGACTTCACCTTAGAGCATTGATTGTCCCTTCCCAAGTAAAGAAACTTTTTACTTGTTTTTGCCACAATAAAATCATCACGACCACCAAAGATTCAACGGAAACATTATTCAAACTTTTTACCGATGTCATTCTCACACTCTCCAGATTTCTCCGGCCTGTTACCACCTACAAATCCATCCATCGAAAATGCAACTTGGCTCTAATACCAATTATTGGGATTTTAAGTGTGTAAGACTCCAAAAAAATCAAGTGTACACAAGAAAAGTATTTTTGAGTGAAAAATTATATTTTCACTATTTCGGATAATATACAAGAAAACTTTCTCCTCGTGTATAAGAGCTAAATGCTAGACACTTAAAATAAACCTATCAACACCCTAAACTCAGATGTATGAAAATTGCATGTGAAGGAGTTTTTTTTTATTTTTTCCATTTAATTAATTAATCAACAATAACAATTTTTAAGTATATAAGTTTTATTTTATTAATTTTATACCAATTTTTTATATATGTAAATTAAAAATAATTTCAATCAAACATCGTGAACCAGAATAAGAACTTTATTTTGGGACAAAGAAAATAAATAATTCTAATTTTGTGAACTAGGAAAAACCTGTTTGATCTTTGTAGGCCATTTTCATCAAGTCTTGAAACATCATAAAGAAGAGGCCCCCAAGTAAACTGCAACATATAAAAAAGAACAAAATTTATATTAATTTCCAAAAACCATATTTCAAAAAAATTGAATATGCGGTGAATTTATAATTTTAGCCAATACAAGCTATGAGGTACTCACCACGTAATCTTCGGGGGACATCCAACTATCCCCTAATGCAATTCCTGCATGAACAAAAATGAACAACCAAATGAAATAATTACTTATAAAAAATTAAAATATATGAACAGACATTACATTATAATTAACTTAATAATATCAAAAAATTTAAATATTCAAACAATAGTTTAAAAAAATTGTAAAATACTTACACGAGTAGTATTAAGTTATGACAAATTAAATAAGTTGCGCACCTTAAAGGGTCATGGTAATACACCATCACATTCATCTTTAGATATAGCTCATAATACATTCATGGTTCAGATTTTAATTATAATATGGGATGATAACAAACTCAATATTAACTCTCTTGGAAAACATCCATCTCCCGGCATTCAAGCTTTTGGAGGTTGTGCGATTTTGGGTGACAAAACAGAGGTTAAGCGAAAAAGTCAACAAAGAGCTATGACATTACGAAAATCTAACTAAATCTTAACCATGGATGTGTTTTAAGTTAGATCTGGAGGCAGGCATATGATATTATGACAATTGTAGGTAGAGTACTTATACCATACGTCCGGATGTATAATGTTTCACTTACATCCACTTAAATACTCATTTTCAAGTAACTGAATACTCATTTTCGAGTAACTGAATACTCATTTACCAGTATAGCTAAATTTTAGAAAAATGAGTATTCAGTTACTTGAAAAAGAGTATCCAGTTGCTCGTAAATGAGTACTCGCCACGGATGTACGAGAAATATTGCACAACCGGTTGTATGGTATATATTCAAAAGAACCACGCAGAATTAAATTATACTACGTAAAATATCCAAGAGCTGTTTAGCGGCTTCAATAGACACAATAGGCACCTTTACTACTCCCTCCGTTCCTAAAAGATTACTACAGTTTGACTAACAGTGGCACCATTTGACCGCGAATTGTGGAAAAAATATATTAAATTTTAATGTATATTTAATAAGATTTGGTTTATTTTTAAAGTATAGTTTTGAAATATCAAATTTTTACAATACTTAATTATTTTAAATTATATTTAATTCATGGTCAAAGTGTACCACAATTTGACCAAAAAAGTCAAACTATGACAATCTTTTAAGGACGGAGGAAGTATTATTTTAGCATAACCTTACTCCATTTACACTAGTTTCGAAGTGTTTACACTTTTGCTTAATTTACATCGCGAATGCTTATAACATATTTGTTTTAAATGAATATAAAAAATATTAGAAAAATAAATGCTTGACTAATGTGACGATTTATTTAAAAATATTGTATACAGGGCAAGTTCAAAAAGTTTTGGGACTTTGTGCTAGTATAAAAAGAGGCTTGCTCCTATAAAAAATAAAAAGTTAATAAATAAATACTGCCTACAAATAAATTTATAATTTATGATGTGTCCTTATTCTCTTCTTTAAAGCATTTAAAAAAACAAAAACAATGAAAAATCTTTCAAAAAATAACATTAGCACTTTAATCAAATTGAACGATAACTAGCACTACAAAAACTGCCCAAATAACGAAAAAATTCCGTCGCCACCCCTTAAATTCCATGGGTAATTGGACAAGACGACAGAATGCACAACGGTTCATTTTCCATTGTTATATTTTTGTTTGGTATTGATTTTGACGACGGATAATGCAATATGTCGCTATATGACGACGGAAATAGCGACAGCATTTGGAGATGGTTATGGCAACGGAACTGTTCTCTCTATTTTTTGCGACAGAAATGGCGACCCAATCGAAAAACAAGACAATATGGTGACGGAAATTGTATCCGTTGCCGAATTAACAGAATTTAAACAGCAGGATGTTGTTTCAACATTTACATTGAAATCATCATGACATTAATTTTTTATAAAAAAAGTATATAGCCCATTAAAAGAGAACATAATCTTCAGAAAATTGCATTTAAACTTAAAATTATAAGCATAAAAACTAAATTTAGAGGCCTTATGTTTTTGGGGTACCAATACCATTGCACAGGTTAAACTCCCTTAAAGTCGAACATGAAGATATCATGTGATTGTTAAACTAAGAGTTACTTTTGACCTATTTATATGTCTTACATGTATAATACTCCTTCGTCCTAAAATAAATTTTAATTCCCAATTTGTCTGGGACTCATTTTTAAGAGAGAGAGACGTCATTTTTAAGAGAGAGAGACGCTAACAGTTGCCAAACAGAAATTTTTGCCGAAGGAGACAGCCCAAGCAGACGACCCATGGCTAGCCGAGAGAAGAAGAAAGAAGAAAGATAACAGAGTAGAGGAAGAAAGTGGAAGATGGTGTGAGTGAATAAAGATGAGAGGGTGGGAAAGGTAGTGAGAGATATTAATGTCTTTGAGTATATTAATAGTTACTTGTATTATTTTAAGTAATGGAAAGAAAGTTTAAAAACAATCCAAAAAGAAAAAGTGAGAAGATAGATTTTGGACGGAGAGAATTTGTAAAAGTTTATTCACGATGCAGTTGTTTATTGACTTATTCCATATAAACTATTTTAAATTTATAGCTCTTTATTGAAGTATTTCTTTGTATATTGACTTAAATAAGAGCTGTAAAATTTAGGGATATTTATGAAATATAAAATTGTGTAGATAGTTTTGTAAATAATTTGATAAAAACGGAAAAACTCATCTAAAAATAAGTGTGTGAGGGATACGATTCTTGATATGAAACGTATCGAGATAGGGAAGAACTTCGAGCGTATTCAAGCTCCAAAAAAAGAGGAAGGGAAAGATGCAAAACTTCAAACGTTTTTGGACTCTCAAGAGAAAAGAGAAAGAGAAGCAGAGAAGTTTTGATTTCTATTTCTTTGCATCTCAACTAATGGGTTACATCTCAATATATAAGGCATAAAAGAAAACCCTAATTATAATAGTAGTATAACTGCTAACCCTAATCATAATAAAATACTAATGAATAAATAACTACTAATTAATAAGCACAAATAACTTATAGGTTATTGAGCTTATAAGCTTGTCTGGAATAGATACTTTTGTTGGTAGCTACAATTGGCTATAAGTTAGTGAGCTTATAAGCACAAATAACTTATAGGCAACATACTATTGTTGGTAGCTACAATTGGCTAGTGGGTGATTCCCCCAAAATTGAGTGGTGTAACTAGCCTGGGATAGATGATTTATTCCTTAATACGGAGTATCATATTATTTACTGGCTAACCTATAAGGATAGACTACGAACGAGACAAAGGTTGAGATATAAATTGTACCTTGTGTGGTCAAGCTGCTAAGGACATTGATCCCCTCTTTTGTAATTGTGTGATGGCTAAGTAGATCCTCTATGTCTATGAAATATCCAGATGGATAGGTTCTGACTTTGAGGCAAACTATTTTAGTGAGATAGGTGAGAGATTATTGCAGCTAAAGCCAAAGAAAAGGAGAATTGAGGTTGTGGCAATATTCGTTGTGTGCTGCTATGTTATCTGAAAAAAAGGAATGGCAAGGCTCATAGAGTCATTGATCTTGACACCAAAGCTGTTATTAGTTGGATCAAATTTCAGAGTTCCATGTTTATTACAAAGAGGTTGTCTAATTAAATAGTTCATAGCTTTTCCTTTTTTTTTTTGCCCTGGTTGTTTTGATTTGTATGTTCTTTGAATCGGTTGTGCTATTTGATCTTAATATATTCACTTTCGGTTCATAAATACTTATAAAACAAGATGACATGTAAGTAATTTTGACTAACTTATAGGCATAGAAGAATATGACTTAGTTTAATTAAAATATAAAATAATGTTAATGATGAGTTTTAGACCGCACTCACACCAAAAAATTCTTGAAGAGGTTTTGTTTACTTCATACTTATTACAATTTGTTGGACTTTGTGGAGGCTTTTTGTATACATGTAATCTATAACCCTAGGTATTTCTATACATGTAATCTAAACACCGTAAGAGAAATAAAATTCCTCCTAGTTGCAACTATGGATAAGGGAAACCGAACCACATAAAAATCTTGTGTCTTTTGTGTTTCATTTCTCTTTTCTTGTAGATTTTTTTGTTTGAAATTTTCTTGCAGATTATTTAGCACAACCAATTCATAATGTGTGTTTAACATGTGAGCATAAATTACGAGAAATTGTCACCTAGGGTTTGAAGAAATAGTGAAACCGGATTGAAGTAGCAACTGAGGCCTGAATAGAACCGTGTGCAGCCCATTTTTCTGGAAATCTGAAGATGCCGCTTGTCGAGCCGCCGTCGCCGTACAGATCGAACAGCCGCCGAGAGTAACGCCGTCCAGGTGGAAATCCGTTCGGCCAAGACAGACCAGGCGCCGCCACCAGAGAGGGTGCAGCCCATGTCCACGAGAGTATGATCTTGAAAGGGTATGTATGAAGAAGACCTTGCTCCTACTCAAGGGTAGTGAGGTTGTCTCCAAGAAATAGCACACCCAATGGAAATCAAATTTTAATATAGGAACATGTAAAACTTCTAAGTTATACGGAGTAGCATTTTGGGTTCTCCTTTGCAGATGCTCTTAGCCTCTTCTTTTTGTTCATTTGGATTAGTTTGTGTTTTATTTTGATTGGGTTGGATATATTGGTTACTTTGTATTAATTTCATTAATGTGTTCTGGTTGTCCTAATTTTTTGATGAAATTATTTAGACCTGAAATTAATTGTATCGAGTACCTTATCCGGTCGTTTGAGATGGTAGAAGATATGAAATTTTGAATTAAGAAGTCTGATGGTAAAGACTTTAGTTTGTGGAAAAGGCAAATTGAGGATTTGGACGTGATATCCCGGTGACAAGCTAGAAAAACATGTGACTAGCCAGAAATGATGTCTAATGCAAAATTTTTAGTGTGAAGTTATGACTGTTATCATGTTCTTGTTGACCAAAAATGTTGTGGTTAACATTCTGAAGGAGAAGATATCAAAATGTGTCATGGAAGTGCTATCTAACATGTACGAGAAGTCATCTGCACAAAACAAATTAAAGTTATTCTGATTATAGAACTAGTGAACTCCAAAATGAAGGGACTTTACTTATCAAGCAGATCAACACATTGAATTCGATCTTAACTAGATTTTCATCGGTTGGCATCAAGTTCGATGATGAAGTCCAAGCCTTATTATTAGTGTCTTTTTTTGTCATTGAATTGCTTGGCAATTAGTCCAAAATAGTTACAACAGTTAATAGTTCATCAGGACCGAATGAATTCACATTTGATCGAGAAGATTGGTGATCTCGTTCTTGGTGAGGACATAAGAAAGAGTTCTGAAGATTCATCAGGTGAATTTCTAAATATCAAAAAGGAAGAGAAAATAACAGAGGTAATGAGTAGAAAAAAAGAGGAGTCGGGAGAATACTCGGGATTGTTAAAGTGTAATATGTTGGAAGTGCAAGGAGCTAGAGCAGGGTGTGGATTCTTGGGTCATTAATTCAAGTGCTTCTTTTCATCCTACCCACAACATTGAAATATGTAGAATCTTGTTATTGTCAACTTTTGTAATGTAACACTAGAGGATGATAAAGCTCTTAATGTTTAGACATGGGTGACACATAGTACTAAAGATGTCAATCTAGACTTTGAAGGATGCCAGAGTTGTTCGAAGTTTGAAGAAAATTATTATTTTTGTCGGGAAGTTGGATGAACAAGAATGTAACACCCAGTCCCCACCCTAGACGAAAATATATGTTCATAAGATTGCAAACTAGTCCCACAAACTAACACAAGTAGTTTCCACACACATTATCCTCACTTGTTTGCGCATAGGAAACTTCTCAAGCGTCACCTATCATATAATTATTCTAAATCTAGCACGATTAACTTTAAAATTTCTAAGTGGTGAGTTCTCAAAAAAAAGATGCATCTAGATAATAGTAGTAGTTTATCAATTCTTTTGAGCTTTTTTTAATTCAATGTTAACACGGGGTATTACGTTCATCCTCGAGTCCTCCACTTAGGAATACAATGTCCTTGTTGCACCCTTCTCAAGCTCCTAGATCTTCTCCACTAGGTAAACTAAGCTCGTTGGCTCCGATACCATTTGTAACATCCTAGTCCCCACCTTGGCCAGAAGCATTTTCTCATGGGATTGTAGACTGATCTAACAAACTAACACAATTAGTCTTTACAGCACACTTCGTTCTCACTCGTGTGCACCTAAGGAACTTACAAAGGGTTCACAATCCTAGAATTTCTAAAAGTCCAGCACGCTAAACTTTGAAGATTTTAAGCGATGACCTTTCGAAAAGACGATGCATCTTGTTGGTATAAGTATTAAGTAGGACTATTAATCTTTTTGAGCTCTTTTCTTAGTTCAATGTTAACACGGGATATTATATGAGAAACGATGTGGAGTTTAGAAATGGACAATGAAGGTCGTTAATGAAAATTATGGCATGACCCGAAGAAAAAAGAGTGATTCACTCCAGATTAACATCTCACGGTTGTTAGAAATATCAAACAAAAAGGGAATAGTGTAATATCTTGATAATGTCCTTGATTGGAATCAAATTACCAATCAGGATATTTGATTAACTTCCACTCACTTTCCTTGATTGTCTTCATTATTAACTTTGTAATATATATAGACATCATTAGAGATGTATTCAAGAAGATGAACATTTTCATCTGTGAATTGATTCTATATTTCTAATATGGTATCAGAGCCATCATTCGATCAAAACAATTGAATGATACGCAGCGTTCATCATCTACCATAAAAAAAAAATGTCTGATCCAACTCCAGAGAGTTCCACCTACACAGGGGAATCTGATCCAATGAAGTAGCCAGTCAACCTTGCACAAATTCTGGAAATTCTCCAAAATTTTCAGAATTTAGCACCCAAGGCCGAACCTATCGAGAGCTCTTCCAATCAGCCGTTAAATTTGGCGGAAAAACTCAACGATAGGAATTACGCCATTTGGGCGCGTAAGATGAGCCTGGCTCTGGACGGGAGAGGACGGCTCAAGCACATCATCGCCGCACCTCTCAAATCTGATGATGCCAAATATATTAAATGGAGACAAGCAGATTCAACGGTAATAACGTGGATACTTGAAAACATAGAATCGGATATTGTTAATCAATATATCGATTACCATACTGCCTGGGATTTGTGGAAGGGGATCGAAGCCACGTACAGCTCCGGAAAAGATCCCCTTCAAATCTACG